AAGCCTTGACGATCAGAGCCCTTGTTGGGCAATTTGATTGATGACCGGTATTGCATATAGACATAACAAACGCGCGCGCACACACACATACACACTCAAGTAAATATGGCACCACCAAAATGAACGATAATTAGCATAACCAGTATATATCTATCTATGCTTATACACTTTCGTTTTTCAATCATGAGCATATATAAGAAGTAAGATAGGGCGGGATAGTCTTCTTGATTTGTCGCTTGTCAAATTGAAACTTTTACAAGAATGAGTTCCAGCTCTGATGATGTTCATCATAATGGACAAAAGCTTAGTCCATTTTTAATCGAAATAAGGGGGGATGCCTCGTAGACCATAGCAACTTGAAGATCATATTAAGGCCAAACATGGCTGCAGAACAATGGGAATCAGTAGTCATCTTCTGGTAAGATTGACCTTAAAAGCTCTTCTTAATGCTCTTCATACGAAATGAAGTCATCCCCAACAATGCTATCTCAGGAGATTCATCGACGCACAGTTACTTCTCCTATTTACAAACAATAATATGTAGGCCAAAAGTGCACATGATGTCGAGTAAATATAAAAAATAGCATTATTTAGTATCGTGTCTACAATTATCATATAAATTGCCTTTACAAATTCTCCCGGCTAACTGGTTAATAAGAAAATACCCAATATATAGTAGATTTCGTAAGTATTGAAAATTCCCTAGAGAGGAACTCTCTCTAGAAGAACTTGAATAAGTTGTGTGCTTGTTTCTTTGTGGTAATGAGGCAAATGATAATAGAGTCTAAGCGTCATAAATGATAATGAGTTAGTAAAAGTAAAAGAAAATTTGTTTACCGACATGCGCTTGCTTCAGTGCGCCTACATCGTTTGTTCCATCGCCGCACATCAGAGTGACATAACCAAGACGCTTGAGTTCTACCAGAATTATTTCCTTCTGCCTGGGAGAAACGCGTGCGAATACCTTAATCTTGGGCAAAAGAAGTCTACCCAGTACGCGCAGCTTGTCTGCCTCCTCAACAGACAAATTCTGGTAGTTCCCGTCGCAGTGGACTAGCAGCCCCTCCTTACCAAGTTTTGTCTCCTTTTCTTCTATTTTCTTCTCCCCATCTTGCCCTCTTAAGTTAACCAGACTGTTTAAATCATGCGAAGCCGCAGAAGTTTGTTGGTCAGACCGTGCCTGGACCTTCAGCAAGGTCGAAGATAAACCATGGAAAAGGAAATCAAAGCCATCACCGGTGATACAAAGATCGTAGAGCTTAATGAGTTGGGAAAGTTTCATTGCATTGCTGCCAAATGCAGACACTATGATCGAGTCATCCACGGATTGCCAGTGCCATTCGGGGTCTGTGAATAAAAAAAACAAAACGGCATAAAAAAATATAAATAATATAGAATCATAAAAAATGCGAATCCATTTATTTTCTTAGAAAGAAGACTGCCAGAAGGTGCAAGCTGATTAATCCTTTTTGCAAACTACCCCGTTGGAAATGTACTCTTAAAATGTATACACTCTGGGAGTTAGGAAAGTGTGAAGCATTGAAATGTGATGAGACTTTTGACGAATTCAAAGTGAAAAGTAAAGCAAGAGTAGAGACAACTGATTGTCAAAGAAACTAAATCCAAAAAAGCTATACGAGACGGATACTTGAAGCAAATTGTGGATCATGCGCATTGGAAAATAGCTATCGACTATATCCCGAGCATGATAAAAATAAAGAATCCGTAGCTGAATGCGAAATAGGGCAATATGCAAAGAAAATAATAATTGACAAAATGGGAGTTTATTTCAAATGGCAGGGTTTGGACACCTAGCAGTTTCGCGATTGCCTATAGAAAAAAATGGCCAGTCTCGAATTGACGAACGAGTATGTCATTGGCAAAACGAAATAGATAAAAGTAAAAAGGAACAGATGATTATAAAATAAGTGAATAACGTATTAAATATTGATGAAACGACAGAGCAATGCAGCAATAAATGAATTAAACGAATTCGATGGAAAAGAGAACCAACTAAGACTACACTTAATCATGAGCATATTTCTATTCTATTTTTAGAAAGACAGCGTGTCCAATTCCCTTCACCTGGGAGACAAATAAAAGATAAGGTCTTATTGCCATTTTAGTTTCAATGAAACGACATAATGTAAAAATAATTGCAATAAATGATTAAAATTAAGCAAGTATAGCAAGTTCGTTAGAATATACTAAATACTAAATCTGCATCGCCAACCCACCAGACACGATCCTGCAATGGAAATTGTAATGAGATATAAGTGTCCACTTACGCAATGAGCATATAATAAAGATTTTTAAATCCACTAAAGAAGCTTGTGAGTGAGTCATCATAATAACACATTTCTGTGGGAGAAAGTGAAGCCGATTGCCTTAAATAGAGCAAGAAATGTGACATCAATTTCCTCACCCGTATCCCCTGAGGAGACTTAAGGCCTGATCAAGAGTTTATCATTAAGCACCGCTGCCTACGAATGAAGAGTTTAACGACAAATTTAGGTACATTTCAGCATCTATGACAAATTGTCAGGCAGATTTTCTATAAATATATTTAGCAAGTATATGATATTTATAATCCAATCTAGTAAAAATACTATCAGACAGTGAATAATAATTATCTGTTAGAACGATAGTCACGAAAGGTCGGTGGAGGAATTTGTAATATCTACTATCCACTGTTCATGCTTCGCATCCGTTATGCGTGGTGGGTTATAGTTAAGCTGAATAGAGTTCGGGATGGCTGTCGAAAGTTATACTTGTAACGATAAGTTGAAATTAAAGGAAACCTTACCTAAGCTTTTTAGTATATCTGAAAGATTTAGACATGGTTTTGGCTTTTATGAGTAGTTCTAAGATAACACTATTTTATTTTTTTTGAAAAATATCCTCAAAATGGAAGTACAAATGCATTGGCAAGAAGGCTAAAAATTTAAAATAATTGACAGTAACTTTAATACTGTTGCAAATATGAGCTCGTAAGATTATTTAGCAAACTATTTAAGAGCCATCGCAAAAGGGCGAAATAGTCAGACTCATTTGTGAGCTTTTTCAGAATTAGAGGGATAGTGTGAAACAAATTTCAAATACTAAGTATTAAAAAAATAAAAAGTTTATCACAGTCTAACGATAAAAATGATAATTTTGGAGCCTCGTTAACAAATTAGGTCATGCCCTAAGGTTTAAAGCCTTCTCATTAAGGAAAGTTGCAGAAAAATCCATAATCGAAAGCGGAAAGATAGACATTCTGTGATCACAATCATAGAAAATAATATTTGAACAGCCAGTGAGGTGACAATAAGAGAAGATAGAAAGTACTAGTTCAAAAAATATCTGTAGTAGGTTCACCTATCAGTAAGCCGATATTTATCTATCAAGAGACTCAATACTTTTATTGGCAAGATGGATTTTATCGTAGTGCAGCAAAGAATATCTATCCGCTCTGGATCATGATTGCATTGGGTGTAAGGTGAAGAGGATTTCAGTTTAAAATAAAGATTTAACAGTGATTGTGGTATGAATCACTCCTAGTAGCATCATTACAAAAGTGTACTCTGTCCGAAATTAGAACTCTAATAATATAACCCGACTCAATAGCAAAAATGCTCGAGTAGTTTGGATATAATGATTGAAATTGTTGATAGTGAAAATTTATGCGGTATGGATGGCAGCATGTTGCATTGGCATTTTAAATGTCTTAGTCAAAAGTTTTGATGAGAAATGATGGCTCATGAATGCCGAATTTAGGTAATAAACGCTTAAAAAGGTTGACATTCTGCTGTATTACTTCGCATAGAATAAATTTACATTCAGATGGCAGAGAAGCATGACTAATATAAGTAATTTTACCCCGATTCAGTAACTTGGTTGTAATGTCAGAGAGGCTTAGACTAATGCGCCTTGTCCAGAGTCTTCTGGCATAGTAGCCATGATAATTTCAATGAGGTGTTCATCCAAATTGGTCCATTGAGTCTGTGATCTATTTTATTCAGGCCATAACAGAGTGCTAGTCGAAGCGTAATTGTCCACACTATGACCCAAGACTTTTGATATCACGTATACTCTCGCCACATTGAACAACTCCTCAGAGACAAGATTTTCTAGGTGGACGAAATACCAACTTAAGAATGTATTGTATATATGAAGACCAAGATGTTGTTGCCTCTAATCTGATCGCAGTCTTCCTTCATTCTGTAGGGGTTGCTTGATCTCCTTTTCGCAACTTGTTCGAGGCCCTCGGATAGTTGTGATAATTCCCAATGTCAAAACGTGGACTTGGTGCATTCCCAGACGCTTAACTGGCATCATGAGTGAGACTTGCCGGTCCTGGATCCACACTAATTCGTCAAAGAAAAGTGATTTTAGTCCTTGCAAAAAGTTCTGTAGAACGGTTATGTACCAGTCCTTCTATTCTGGTACATCTAAATACTCCCATTTCTAGTATCTCACACGCTCATTATTACAACTTACAACTTGGAAATGTACCAAGTCAATGGTCGGAGGCTGAAAATCATCATAACTACTATAGCAAAGGACTTCGAATAGACTGAGTAAAATTATGTCGCCCTAACAATGCGACTAAATGGAAAAAAATAGGTCAAACAACTTCTTTTAAGACGGCATTATCCCCATCTCAGTTTGACATGTATATCGGTTATATTTCGTAATAAAGTCAATGAAATTTCTGAGAAACTCGGTCTATCAAAAGCTCATCAACAGGAATGGATTGACATGTATACGCAAATAATTACGCTGAAACAACCGAATAGATCTTTAGGCGCAGAAAGGGAGGGAAACGGAAATAATGGGCAAAAACCAATATTGGGAGGGAAAGTAGACTAGGCTATTGGGACACTTATCAAATCTAAGAAAAGATCAAAGTATGAAGATCCACGAAATACGTAAGGATAGGATGAATGAAATGCATATGAACGTAGAAATCTACAGATGCATTATGAATTCCATAATTAAAAAAGACGCAAAGGTTATAGAAGCCACACAAAGAAGAAGAACCACTAAGACTGATAATCAAAAGCAAATATGGAGCGACAGATGAACTGACGGAACTCAATTATTTGAAGCTCAAGAAGGCAAACAAAAGATCACAAAACATCGTGAAAAACTCAGTAATTTCCTTAAAAAATAAAAAACATCGGGCTGGCAGGAAAAGAACTGTTAGTAAATTTTAGCGTATCTTTCATGTACGCCCTGTTAGAGATCGTGAAAAAATAAGAGAAAATCTTGGAATCAGAGAGGACACGAAAAGTCGTCGCCATGCCTAAACAACCAGACAATAGGAAGCACATACTTAACATTCGACTAAAACGTCTAGGAACAAATATTAGCACAGCTAATGGGGTCCTGCCCTCACAACCTTTGGAAAATGTCAGCTTCATCACAACTATGGAATAAGGCCGGGGAAAATGAAGAGTCTGATGGCTTAAGGCTAACAGTTATGAATGATAACTTCGTTTACTCTATTTCGTTTAAGATGATGAAGGAATAGAAGTTAAACATTCCCGGAATCATGTCAGTTGGTCTTACTTGAATTCCTTGCTTCTTAAAAAGTATCCTTATTTAGAGTGGACTCTAGTTTCAACCTCATCTAGGTCTTACCAACAACTTGGGTGGGACTCAAACTTGGGTGGTGAAGCGCATAGTCTTGACACGTTAGCCATTATGTCATACTGCCACAAACACAATTGGATTGCAGGGCAGAAGTGAATCTGATGGAAGGCCAGGCCTTTACCATATCCCTTTCTGTGGTGGGATCGTCGATGAAGCAGTTATGTTTTATATTAAAAGAGTCTGAGATTATGAAGAACTGGTAGTTGAATTTTTCACGACTCAACTACCCGTCCTTCCTAATTTAAAACGAAATAGTGGACACAGTTCTTATTGAATATCTAATGGTAATCTCGAAACCCTACTTACAAACTAAAATAAGTAATATAGTCTATTTTAATAGCAAATACAACTTTACTTCAGTTTCGATCCCACCATAGAAATTGATATGGGAAAGGTCATGCCTTCTATCAGATTCCCTTCTGTCCTATGACTCAAGGGCATTCGGAGCAGTGTGAAGTAGTGGCTAACGTGTCGACACTATATGCTGCACTACCCGGGCTCGGATCCCGCTGGGCAAGCTGATGAAGCCCAGATGAGGTCGAAGCTTCCGATCACCCTGGATGAGAAAACCTTATGGGAAATAAAGATATATAAAAATTAAGGAAATTTGAGGCCTATTAATATGATTGTAAGAAAATTTAACTGCCAATCCTTCACCATCCTAAACGAAATAGGATGAACTCAGCTCTTATGGAAGAGCTACTGGTAGTCTCGAAACCCTAGTTAAAAACGAACACAGACACGGAACTCTAGGGTAGATAAAAGAATAAAATTAAACCAAATTTCCATTATTAATGTATATCAGATAGAAATCATAAAATAAATATAGGAGTCTTAAAGAGCACATGGCTGAATTAATACTATGAAAATAAAATCAGGAATCAGGATGACCAAAAGTGGACATACCGAGCGATACTGAGAAAATAGAATATCCAGGTGATACCAAAGAAGATAACAACACTTTTAACTAGCTTTCCGATGTAATACGGGAAGGTAAATAAAGTGAATTTCTTGGGAGTTTATCGCATAATATACAGCAACAGTCAGCAGAAGTGTATTAGTGAAGCAGGGAAAAAATCTGCCTACTAATCAAGGAATACCAAAGGCCTTGCAGTAACATGGATACGGAAAGATCAGAAATTGTGAAACAATAAGCATGGTCAGAGCACTTGTATAAAACATAAGGAGATCAATGTCATAGAAAAGACCCCACCATCCTGGCTTTCGCATCGTTGATTATTCATACATAATATTTATTATTTATTCTAATCAACCTGACAATATGCATATACTTTACATTTAGCGAAAATGTATGTGTAAGATAACGGATTGAATAAGGTAGAATCAAAGAATACTCGCGAAAAAAGAAAAATGTGAAGATGTAGATAAGCCTATTAATGAATTCCTCTCATATCCACGATATTGCATGAGTGATAGAAAACATTTTAAATGTAACTATTGATGGCCTGATTGCAGACAAATTGCTTCATAACAAGTTTGGATTACTCAAAAGAAATTTGCAGATAGGTCCTTGAAATAATTAAACTAATTTAAAACACAAATGAAAGAAAATAGCGCCCTTTCTCAAATGACTGTCTGGAAACGTTC